AAAGGTCGGCGGTAGCGGCGCGGAGAGTGACGTGAGAGGGGCGGGGAGATACGCGCTAAGAGGGAGAGGAGGGTAGTGTGAGGATGCGGGGACGCGAGAAGGTGGGGGCGACGGCATCCTTTCGGTGATTTGTATTCACCCACATTTTGGCAGTACTGCTTCTCCTAACCAGGTATGCTTCTGTTATCGTCTGACTGCCCCCAACCTGTTACTACGCTACCCCCAAGTTCTCCTTGGCTGTATCGTGCGAAAGACACATAATAACCACCTACTTGTCCCCGCATGTACAACTTTTCACGCCCTCAACGCCGCGGCCATTTGCTTCCCCGAACACGAACGGCCGCCCGCCATGAGTGACTGACTAGTCTCTCTACCCTCGAAAGCGGCGTCTCCGGACAATGCCTAAAGCTACGAAAGCGTGAACCCGAACCTCGAGACAAACAATCGAAACGTCTCAAAGCTTCCTGAAAATATGCCAAATAGTGTTAAGTGTGGGAAAGTTCTATGCGGGAGGAGCCTTTCGTTATCAAGGCGTCGAACCGCGCCAAAGAACTGCAGATCATACCTGCGTTTGGGCCAACCGCAATTCTCAGCAGTTGGCGTAGGTTGCTCCCCATGCGAACTGCATCGGACTTGAGCAGAATAATGCGGCGAATCAGGCAGTACTTAATCTTGCTGGTACTTGCGCGCGCATCGGCGGCGTAGAATGGTTATGAGAAAAAACCCCGGGGCCGCCCCCCCCCTCTGTTTTGGGGGAGGCCCCCCCCCCGCGGTGGAAACGAGGCGCCGCACGCCAGCCGCGACTCTGCCGGCGCCACGCTAAGCGGATCGGTCTGCGGCCACGGGTCGACAACATTGCACACGCCGACGCGGCGCCGCGCCAGGCAGTGTTGAATTCCGCACGCATGTAATATCGGCTGCAATTCAATATCAAGTTTTACAATGTGCGCGCGGCCGCGCCGCAACGCATCGCCCGCAGTCCGCGCCCGCCGCAGCCGCCACACTGTCGGTATGGTTGGGCGACGGAATCGTGTGCGTGCCGGTGGACCGCGGGGCGGCACGCGCGTCGGCACGCCGAGGTTGATTCGGCGGGGGGGGCAGGGTAGCTTCGCGATGCGCGTGGCGCAGATCGACCGCTTAGCGGCGGCGGCGGCGGCGGCGGCTGGCGTGCGCTCCCGGCCAGGCGGCCCCGGTTCATAATTTACGCCGCAGTCGCAAGCCGCAGTAGCTGCCCTGTCGCCTGCATTATTCTGCCAAGTCGATGCAGTGTCGCTGGGAGGCAACCTACGGCAACTGCTGAGAGATTGGGTTGGCCAAACGCATTGATCTGCGGTTTCTTTTGGCGGCGGTTCACGCACGAAAGTTGGTTTGGAGTTCCAATTTCTTTTGGATATTTTCAGGAAGCTAGTACGTTAGCTTCCGCGGTCGGGGTCAGTTTCTACTAGCATGTCCGGGAGACGCCGCTTTCTAGGTAGAGAGACTAGGTTTCAGTCCTCATGTTGCGGCCTTCTTCGGGACAAACTGCGGCTTTTGGTGAAACGTTGGCATCTGTGCCAAGAATGTGGGTCTCACGAACAGCCATGTAGATACTTTGAGCTATTACATTTGGCATCATACATAAATGAACAGCTAATAACATACTTCTTCAGAATTTTTAAAACAAAATTAAAGGTGTGATATTTACAATTGTAAGAAAGGGTTAACATATTTTTAACTGATTCATTATTTCCAATAAAACACTAAAGAAGAGTAAAATAACTTCTGTTCAATTACTCTACCTTCTTTATTTGTCTTAATTTGTTTTATAATCTTAAATTGGTTAAACTTTGTAGTATTTCTCGTTTACAGCAATGATCCTACCTTTTATGAAAAGTTCTTCACACATAACTGTTTTATACAAAATTTACAAATATTGCTTCGAATAATTTTTAACGACGGCCCGTGTAGGTTATGAGATTTCTGAGAGAAAGAGTATAATTGGATATGAATGAAGTTTTAGGAAAGAATATTTATTACTCTTGTTTGAAGTTTTGTCATCCAAGAACAATGTTTTGTCAACTTCAGAGAATTTGGTAAGTTATTAAAAACAAAACTTAGTAGATCTCAGAAAGTGTAAAACAAGTTTGCTTGAAACAATATCTTATCAACACACTTTAAAACTTGTAACATGAAAAGCTCAAGCTCAAGAATAAGATTGCCAGCAAAGGAAGCAAAGGAAGCAAACGAAGAACTACATAAAAGAACGATGACGGTCAACACGAGGCGGCACTGAGTCTGTCCGTTGCTCTCCTCGTGGTGGAGTAATATTGACAGAAAAGAAAGCAGAACTTTCAATGAGGCCCGAGCGAAAATAATCTTTCGAATTAAAGAACTCTCAAGTTCTTGTGAAAGTGATAGAATTTGATAGATTTCTGTTCAATACCGTGGATTGTAAATGAAAGATTACAAAAACACTTATGATAAAACGCCATGGAAAATAAAAGTTCATAAAACCAAATCATTCATCCAAGATATTTTTTATAGGCTACAATTACAACGTGGATTGCTTCCCAGTTTCTGTTAAAAAAATAATCTAGTGTAACATTATATTGTCTCATTCCGTGCCAGAAAATGAGGTATGTGTATGGACATGCGAAACGTTATGTTTGGCAATTATTATACGAATAAATAGTTTATAAAATCTGGTTTCATTGTCCATGATGATACCGCGTCCCCATATGATACCGCTCCTAAGTAAAAACCAAATAGCAGTTGTTGTATATAAACGTATTTTCATTGTCTGCATTAGATCTACACATGGCCAAACATTGTTTTTATTTTCTTCCGGAATAACAATTTAAGTGTTATGGGTGGTGATTCAATAAATATGCCGCATTAAGATTCTTTTCCATATAAGTTCCATTCTTACTTATCATCGTGTTGAAACTAGCAGCCTCTAATACTCGCTATCAAGATCTAGCAGCAATATTGCAGTATTCTCCGCATATCTCAATAAAATGAAAGTGGAATTTTAATTATACAGGATAACCGCGCTCGATTTTTTTTTTATGGGTTTATTTGAAATCCCTGGTTTATGTCGACGACACTTGACCATAGCACACCTCAGAACAAATTGCGACGCCAATTGCAAATAACCGATTGATATGTTGCATAAGAGTGGATACGAATTTCAAAATCGGACTTTCATCAGTGTATGCGCCAATTTTGAGGTCGCATTTTTATCCGATGTCATTTTCAAGACTGGCATGAAAAAAATTTGGGATATTGTAATTCTTCAATAAAAAAAATTTAAAACCAATAACTGAAGTACTTTTGGTTTTTATTGACCTTTCAAATCAGTAGAGTTTCTTGCGC